GCACAAATGCAGTTGAATGTATGCAATTACATTAGAAAAGGCAAGTACAAAGCACCAATCACTGAAATTTTACAGTCAGTGTGCAAGTTAATAATGCATTGGATGCACCTCAAGGGCATTTGACCATAAATTTAAACAAGTTATTCTAACCTTAAGTAGACTGTTGATGAGGCTGCATTTTTACCAGATTATAGTTTGGGACTCCCAACTTCAAAATGAGACGATTCATTAAAGAGATTTTAATGAAAAGCAATAAGAATGTACTACGATAAGAATGTATAAGGCTCCAAATTACCACATGAAGACAAACTCACAGTAGTAAACTTGTTTTCATCTAACAAATGACAGAAGATATGATCCAGATTTGTTTAATTCCTAAAAGGAATAGATGAAGCAATCGGGTTACTGATCTTGAACACAAATACAAGTCAACACATGTCAAACTGGATTTGAGAGTCCTTGATGGTACAGCTCAGAAAAAGGCTATTCAGCCCACCCAGTCTGGTTGGTGTTAATACTCCATGAGTGCCTATCCTCGACCCTATGCCTAGCCTCATATCCCAGCTTTCCCCCCTCCCCCCCAATACACTTCAACTTTATGGCTTATTGCATGGCTTCAAAGTGAATACATCCATAACTTAATAGAATTAGGACCAGACAATTCAAGAGTGTTGAGGATTCTAAAAGGGACGTTCTTCTTTAAAAATTTAGGACTCCGTCTGATATAACATGTTACTCCCAACCATGCCATGTGTATATATAAGCTGCTGCTCCCCAACACTCCCTTGCTTTTGAGCCTGTGATAATTGATAAAGAGGGACAGAATACTGGCCCTCCCTGAAACCAAATCAAAATTAGATTAATCAAATGACGTTCTCAGTAATTCAATTACTTTCCCACGTTTTCGCAATTAAACTCTGGAGTGAAGCCAGCCATTCATTTATGCAATTGTAACCCCCAGCAAACCACCAGGTTCAAAAAGCAGGTCTGTTAACTTATAAGAGGCAGATCCTTATGCGGTATCAAATTTAAATCCCATGCAGGCACTAGCAGCATTGAATTTCCTAACAACAACAAGATTACATTTGTATAGCGCCTTTCATGTCGGGAGGACGTCCCAAGACGCTGGACAGTGTACAGCATTTCAGTCCCGAAAGATTATCTGATTGGAACCAAAGATTAATGATTTCTAGATGACAGAAATAGCTGTTGTATGAACTTAAAGATAATAGAAACAGTAAATTACATAGTTGCATAAGCTGTATTGTATTGAAACTGGAGGCCATTCACCCCAACTAGTCCATTTTGGTGTTTATATTCCACCCATCCTAATCTCTCTCCCATGTATATATTAAGTTTTCTCTTAAATGCATTGATGATTTCAATACAACAGAATATATACTTAACAGCACATTTCACATCAGGAGGATGTCTCAAATGGCATGATCATTCTTGTTTGGGTAGCGCAGTTGACGGTAGAAGCCGAGGGGAAAGATGACCGAAAGCAGTCAAAGAAGTATATTTTGAAGCCTACCTTGAAATTGGTGGGAGGGAGTAAGTTGGAGGGACCTGGGAATGGGGTCCCAGAGAGCAGGTAACAATTGGGTGAAGGCCCATCTGCCGATGGTGGGGCACATGAAGCAGAGTATATATTCTAATATTTGAGGAAGAGCTGCTTCAATCACAGCTTCCCACAATGACTTCCACATACTCAACCACCCTCTGTGTAAAGACAATCCTCCTAAACGCTTAGATCTGCTTGTGGCTACCTTATCTTTAAGGTATAAGGTCCTGTAGCTCAGTGGTTTGAGCACTCGCCTCGCAAGCGAGAGACTCGGGCTCTATTCCCAGCAGAGCAAAATGTTGGGCAAGTTTCCTTACTCCACACGCCTCTGTTTACCTAGCAGTAAGTAGGAACCCAGTTGTTAGTCGATTAGAGGATCACTTTTCCAGGGATAATAATCCTTAAAAAATATTAACTCAATCCATGACTGTTTGTGGGACACTGCTGTGCGCAATTGGCTGCCGCATTTCGTCCACAAATATACAGTCAACTCACTTTACAGTATATTCTGTGAAGCACTTTGAGAAGTCTCGAAGACATGAAAAGCGCTATATCAAATGCAAGAATTATCATTATTAATGTCCTCTTTTTATGGACTTCCCAACAACAACAAGATTTCATTTATAGAGCGCCTTTCACATCGGGAGGACGTCCCAAGGCGCTGGACAGTTGGGTCAGGTATAAACAGCCGATTTCTGTCTGCCTTATTAAACCCTTTCATAAATTTTAAATCACTATTAGATCTACTCTTAAGCACCACTAAAGGCAAGTACATCTATCTATCTTATACTAATAAAAACGAAATGTCTGTGTGTGTGTCTCTGTACGCCAATAACACAATAACCGATTGACATCATCGGAAAGGTCTTGCATGGGGGAGTGGCATGGGCATTGTTTTGGGGGATCTCCTAACATCGATGAGCTATATTAAAAAATGCTTTAATTAAGCCCCAAAATATGAGGTATGCATGGTATTCTGCAACAAAATAGCGATAGAGGAAATCACACATCCTGCTTGAGATAAAATCGGGAAAGAGAGGTGCAAAAAAAAGGAATGCTACATTTTTAAAATTAAACCTCACCCCCCCAAAAAAAAATCCCATAATCTCTCAAGGATAAGAGTGAGGAGGTGAGAGAGGGTTTTTTGGGAAGGGAGGGGAGAAAGGTTATATGAGTGCGCACGTGCGTGCGTGCATGCGCGCAAGAGTCCGGGGGGGGGGGGGGGGGGGTGGAGGAGAGAAGAGAGGGTTAAAGTGAAGCCTGAGAAGATAATATCAATAATATCTCCAGATGAAACACAGTTTATCAGGGTAAAAAGGAGGGCATTCTCTTTGTTCTCGATTACTTGTTATTACTTGATTATTATTATTATTATTGATTTAAGCACCCTAGAGATCAGGAAAAAGCCCTACAGAAACACGTCCCCACGCAAAAAAAATCATCCATCCTGAGACCAAAAGCAAAGCTGAAGAACAACAACATTACATTTGTATAGTGCCTTTCACGTTGGGAGGACGTCCCACAGTGCTGAAAAGAAAGCTTTAGTATTGGTAGCTCGCACTCTTTAAGAACCATATACATTTCAGACAACTTGGTCAAATGTCTTTGTGAAAGTATGTATCCAAGATCTGTTGAGGACAGTCTGGTGTTACCATCATGAAATTTTCCTGTGTAAAGAATTTTTAGACCAAATTCCAGAATGGGATGGCAACTTCCAAATCTTTTCCAGTTGAATTACCTCTATAGCCAATCGGCATAGTAAACAGCCTACCTCTGCTACTGGATTCTGTTCTGATCTGAAACAACACTGCAAAACCTGTTAGTGGCCATTTGAAAGTCAAGACACCCACTGGCACTGTACCGAGGAATCAGGCATCTGTGGTGAACATTCCTAACTGGCCATAAATAAAAAAGCCTCCAGCCTGGGACCAACTTTACTGTTGGCCAGGAAACGTTAGTGTGGAAGCATTGCCAGATGTTTACAACGAGCACCTTTTCCCGTGCACTGAATCCGAGAGCCCTTTTCAGCACCATAATACCCAATTCTTTTGGGCAGTCAGTTCAGTTATTCTAGATACTGGCCTAAATGGATCTGCCCAAGCCTACAAAATTTTGCGTTAGTTGATTTTGTGAATAATAAATAATCCTTGCATTTGGTAAACAGCTTTTCACATTGGGAGAATGCGTCAAAGCACTTCACGGGATTTTATAGTGAAGTGTAGCAATTGTGTGTTTGTACACAAACATGGCAGCCCATTTGCTCACAGCAATGTCAAACAGCAGAGAAGTGAATGATCAATTTTATTCAGGGGATTGTTGGCCAGGACACAGGAGAAACTGCAATCTGTTTGATTAGTGCCACGGGATCCACCCGAACAAGCAGACAGGACCTCAATTTCAAATCCAAAGGACAGTACCTACAACAAAGCAATGCACCCCCAGCACTACATTGGAGTATTCACTTAGGCTGTATGAGTTCAAAGTCCCAACGTGGGGCTTGAATCTATAATCGTTCGACTCAAGAAGCAGGAGTCCTACCAACTGAGCCAGTCTCACACAGAATATAACAGCACCTGTTGTATTTGACCTATGAAGAGTGTATAACATTCCGCAGAGCAGATATTTAAGACATTTATCGTATTCACTGAAGAATGAATATTTAAACATGAAAGAAAGTTTTAATATTGTGGTCAAAATGAAAATTGTGTTTAAGAGAACTGAAATTTTGTATAATCCTTAAATTCAGTCTTAATTTGGAAGTTAGTTTTCTAACTGTTTCCAAGTTAAGACAGATTTCAGTCTTTTTCCAAAATTCACACAATCTGAAATATTAACACTGCGAATTTTCAGGCATCTGGCTCCTATCCAGTGACCGTGAGGCCTTTCCTCAATTCTTGTCAGAGCAGTATATACAACTCTCTTACTGGCAGGTCACCTACCCTCCTCTAGGGAATGAGAAGGGATTACATGAGGAGTTTATTTTAAAACAACAAATGTTCTTTTATTACCCTGTTAAAAACAGCATAGGAAATCCTATCCTCTACAATTCTAAGAAGGCTTATTCGAAAGCTTTGTCGTTGTAGAACAGGAAGGACAGACCAATTCACAGCATTTAATAGAACAAATCTATTAATGGAGTGATTACTTAAATTTTTTTTTAAACAACTTCCTTGGTTGGAACTTGAAGCATCAACAGATGCTACCAACAGATTTCAATTCCCTGGTGGATATGAAATTCCGAGGCTAATTTCTTCAGACTAGCTGGCAAAGACTGAAAGGATGCACTACTTTCCTTAAGAAAGCCAAGCACCAAAATCTGTTGGAAGGTTTCATATTCATCTGTCTGATCTGAAAACACATCATACAGGCAATTTTTCTTTGAGTGCCCACCAGCCACATTGAATTAAAAAAATATGCACACATCAACAGTCCCTACCTGAGCATGGAAGTTTGACATGGTAGTTGTCTCTATATCCTTCTTTCCCAGGATCTCCATCTTTACTGGAACATTTGGAAAGCTATAGGCAAAGTATTCAAGGAAATCTGGTAAGTATGCAGCGGCTCCATGAACAATACCCATAACATAATGGGCAGAGTTATTATTCTCACTAAAAGTCATATTCACAAACTCCTCTGCAAATCTCTCCATCTCCATGGGAGATAGGGAAGAGAGTTCATCCTTGTAGGCGTGCAACACCGAAGCTCCTCCATTTGGCTGGTCTTCTATGTGAATAAACCTTCTGAACAATAAATCCAGTCCTGAACCTTTGCTTTCAACACAGAAATCCCTGCACAAGTTAAGTGCCAGTCGACTGCTTTCTGTTGACGTACATTCAGGCAGTCCACCTTCTAGGTACAAGTTGGCTGACCTATTTTCGTCTTCTATCGATGTTATCCCCTGCTCTTTGATTTCTGATACAAGCCCTGAGGAAACCGTTTGAATGGATTTGCTGCACATTTTGGGTCGTTTTCGCTTTTCACCTTCCTTGTGTTTCTTTTTCTTTTTCTTCTTTATCTTTTTAAACTGGAATTCTTCTGCACCAAGTTTCCGTTTTTCACTGTTACCTGCAAATGAATAAGCAGAACATATCTATACATTCAAAAATATGTAAACCTTCAAGAAATCTACAATGCTAGTTCAATGATTCTTTCAGTATCGTCCTTTTGTAATACTTAATACCTCTCCTACCCAAGTATCCACCTCTCTCTTTTTTAAACAGCCTATTGATTCTGCCTCTACAGCTTTCTGGGGGCAGAGCATTCCATATCTTTACAACTTTCTGTATGAAGAAATGCTTACTGACTTCAGTTTTTACAGTCTAAGTTCTGATTTTAATAAGTCCTAATACCAGACTGATATCCACTCTATAGCCCGCCCGTTAATACTTTTATTATTTTAAATATCTCAGTGCTTAACCTCCTCTGCATTAAAGATTATAGAGCAGATCTCTGGAAAATATTTGGCACATCCGTTGTACACATTTTGAGAATGATCCCTACGTAAATAAATTTCTGTGCCTGAGCTGAGGATGTCTTTCCTGATTAAACCTATTTTAGAATCTCTTCCTTAAGATTAATGAAGGGACCTGGTGTGAAAGGCACCAACTGGTACAGCACCAAACCTTCTGCTTCAGAAGGTCACAGATTGGATTCCTGACCTGTGCCAAGTTAGCTCATGTGAGCGAGGGGAAGTACTTGGAGTGGCCTCATCACCTCTGAACTATGGCAGGACTAAAAAAAAGATCAGCTAGGTTTCTCTATTCAAAGGAAACCTCTATTGGAAAAGTATACAGAGAAGGACGTGTGTGCAGACATCTACTAACAACTGCAAGATAATTAATTCCCTTATGTTGGAATAGCCCGTTGGCGTTCACTGTGTGCTCAAATAGAAATATTCCTCAGGTGATGGTACCAGGAACCCACAGACACCTATAAAACCATGCCTCAGCAAGTCAGCTTAATAAAAAACATACCTGTGCTTTACACAAAACATTAAATGGCTTCCAAAAAGCATCCTCAAAGCTCCCATAAAGTGTGCATGTACTGACTGGTCTATTGAACCAATCATACTAGCAGTCAATCCCGTTAAATATATTGCACTGGAATTCTGCAGAACACTTTTCAGATTTTACAAGAGGAAAATGCAAAATTTCTTATTCAGCTTTAAAAGCCTAACACAGATTGATCTGTTTCAACTGAGGAATTACTGCATTCTGAACTGCAATATTTTGCATGAAGACAAATAAAATGGGCCCTTAAGATTTCGATTTTCTATTTCTTTATCTTAATGAAGCAGAGTTGATTTAAATTACTTACCAAGGTCCTTAGCCAATATTTTAATTCAGCTTAATGTTTTACAGAATCCATCCCACCCTTTTTTCTAGTAGTTAAATTGTGCATCGTAGCATTCAGAGAACACTCAGTGAAATCATTTACTGTTTTCAAAACGTCAAACAGCAGTATGCTGGAGCTTTAATTTGTGCCACATAGTCCATGCTTAAGTGCAAAGACCAATCAAAAGTTCATTGATAATTTGTCTGTTCGACAGATTTGGGAATTCATATATGAATCTATTGTCTAAGCTCAAGCCAGATAGCAAAATAGCTCTATTTATGCTAGGGGTGGCACAAAAAAGCAGATGGAAAGGGTGAGGGGGAAAGGAGTGTTAATTAATTAACTAATCCGCTACAGTAACCAAATGAAGATACTTCATGTTATTAGAGGCTCCTGAATGTGAATCACATTTTAATAAAGTTGAGCATCTTCTATAAAATAATAATAATCCTTGCATTTGGAAATCACCGCAGTTAGCTGATTCAAGAGCAGCATCGACAGAGAGAAGCAAGCAAGACCATCTATCCATTTTAGAGCGAAAACAGTGACAGATCATAAATTCATGCAGAGTGTTTTGTTGTTGAAGATCAAAAAGGCACCTGGTTGATTTGGTTTACAAATTTGGATAACATTGAATTATCATTTAGCGTACTGTAGTCAGATTTAAATGGATTTTCCAGTGACGTGAAAATTATACACAGAAACTAAGCAATTCAAGTCTGAAGTAGCACCATTCAGGCAAAACTGACTGTACCAACGCACAAAGTTTGAAGTGCTGATTTTTAAAAAAAACTTGTGTCATTGGTATTTCATAAAGAATTGATTGAGAAGTCTATTTATGCTTCAAGTATTCCAATTAGCAGTACAGTATCTCACTTCTGAAGACTACAGACTATGTCACCGAGTCATAGCCCGGTGCAAAACTACTGAATAGAAAAAACAAGAGAATACATTTATTACGGTTTTAAGAACAACTTTCAATCAAGTCTACAGTTTATGTAGAGAGCAAAAAGACAGCAAATTAAATGAGCAAGTTATTCATTAAATACAGTCACAACACTTCACAGCAAAATTCTGTGAAGCACTTCGAGAAATATCAATATGTGATAAGGCCCTATATCAAATGCAAGATTAAGAACTTTCAGTCACATACTAATGGAATATGCTGCCAGCACTGCTAAATGTTGTAGTGTATTATTTATACATTTAGTACGGTTGATTGATCTGTTCAATTCTGAAGCCTGAAATTCCACTTAGTATTAGCTTGCAAGACCATTTTATTTTACAATTCGCAAATTCAGCCAATTTGTGAATCCTTTTCAATGATTGCAAAAAACTGAATTCCAAATTAAGATTTAAAAAAGGCATTCCCCACAATTTGACAATCCTAAATTTGAAAGAAAGAAAAAGGTCTCACAGGCTAACATGAGGAAGAAATTCAATCCCTAGGTAACAAATAATAATCTTTGCATTTAATTTAATGCCTGATCTTTTTCATATTTTGAAGTTCTTCAGAGATTTTCCTGTAAAGTGCTGCGACTATTTGTAGGCCAATGTGGCAGCCGATCTGCACATAGCAATAACCAATGAAGTTTCTCCCGGTGTCCTGGCCAACAATTGCCCGAATAAAATTGGTCATTTACTCCATGGCTGTTTCTGGGACACTGATGTTCACAAATTAGCTGCAGCATAAGATCGAAAACATACGGTCACTGCACTTTACAATAAATCTGGTGACCCGCTTTGGGACATCCTCCTCACGTGAACGGAGCTATATCAAATGTGAGGATTCACAGCCATGAAGTGAATGGCAAATTCAATAATTTCCTCCACAATTTAACACAATCTTGAATTTTTTTTAGAAAATGCTCTTACGTATTATTTACCATACGAAAAAGGAATAATCCTCTAGATAAATTGGTCACTCACTTCAAGACTTAAGAGATCTTACTTCTGTATTGTCCTACAAATGTATTCAACAGGGATTCCCTGGGAAACATTTCAAGATATTTAAGTGCTACACCAATTGTAAATGCGGAAACACTTTGGAATAAAGCCCATCTTTGATTGTGTATGTAAATTTGATTATTATTATCAGCTAACAAACAGCACTAAAACGTAGTAATAATAACACCGAAACGTACTGTTGCACGTGACGGTTCAATTAGTTTGATAGTACTCCCCATATACCATGGTGAAAAATATCTAAGATTTTGTTCTTGTGCTTGAAATATAACCTACTGAAGATCTAATGCAGTATTCATTGAAGGTATGCAGAGATTCCAAAGCAAACTACATTGCATGCTGCAGAATACCATCTGGAGAGAAAAATTTCAACAAAGAGGGGGAAGCATTTAGTCTCCACTTACAAGTTACCCTTTAAAAGTGCTCAGATCATGCAAGTCATGTGCAGACGTCTCCTCAACCTACAACCAAAGTATAAATCTGACTTCTGCTTCATATTGCTCTACTGCTGGAAGTTATGCCTCACTTCCTGCCATATAAACCAGACATTAATTTGTATCTTTATCCGTCAAATAGCTGCAAGGCAGACTAATCTACCAGAGATTTTGTCCTTGCTTCTGTTCAGTGTATTCCAAGGTCACACACAGAAAATAACTGCCCGAATAGTTTATAGAAGCGCCTAAATTGAAAGCAATTAAAGAATCCTTGCATTTGATACACCTCGAACACTGAAACCTCTCAAAGTGTTTCCCCATGTAACTTTGTGAAAGGTTTGAGTCAAATTCTGCTAAATGACAAATAAGGCAGTGGTGAAACATTGTTGGAAACTCCCACTCTGCAATTTTCTGGTCTCTGGAAGGCTACCAAATAAAGTCAGGTGATTCTCAAGACAGGGACAAATAAAGCACTAGGCCATGTTTGCATATTTGCTATTGAAGGAGGCACAAAGGCAGATTCTCCATCGATCCTCTCAGCTGGAAATGACGTGCTGCACAGGAGGCTTGGAGAGGAAAATATAAAACTCTTTAATGTTATGTCTCACTCCATGATTTTACATTTTCAGACATGCTGAAACATTGAGTATGAATGAGAACATTTCATAGAACATGAGAAAACAGGAACAGGAGGCAGCCGTTCAGGAGATTGAGCCTGTTCCACCAGTTTAGTTTGGGAGATCTTTTAATCCCAATGCCTCACCCTTTCACCTTTAATAAAAGGTTGCTATGTAAAGGCATGAAGGGCGCTATATAAATGCGAGTTGGTTTGTTGTTGTAATACTCCTACTCTAAGAATGTTGATCTCTCTTTTAAACATTCTTATCGATTCCATCGACAGCTTTCTGAGGCAGAGAATTCCACATTTTCATCATTTGTTGCGAGAGGAAATGCTTCCAATCCTCAGTTCTAACAATCTGAGTTCTCAGTGGAGATTGGGAGGACAAAAAACACATATTTACTTTTGAATCAAGTTAAATAAAAACATAGTTTAGGTACTTCTCAAAGACACCATTAACATGTAGAGTATTTCAAATTAAACTAGATATTTGTCTGGTTTGAGTATGTAAACCAGGCAACTCCAAAATACTGCTCAACATGCCAGCAAGCATATTAGTACCATTTTATTTATATCTTTAAATCTGCATTTTAATTGTAGGTAGACACTTCATGGCTGTTTCTTGGACATTGCTGTGAGCAAATTGGTTTCCACATTCACCTACAAAATGCAGTGCCTAGACTTTACAGTAAAAAAATCCTGCAAAGCTTTTG